GGAGTCGATCAATGTGCCTGGCCTGACCTAAAATCTCCACTTCCCGCATAATTCTTCCCTCGGTCCCGGGGGGCCTTTTCCGAGTCAGTGCGGGAAGATGAGAGAACAGCATGCACGTTCGTTTCCTATTGACCTGTGAATGAGCAGAAGGCCAAAAGTCGTCTGTGATGCCTGCGTGCAGTGTGTGGAAGACACAAACTTCTGCTTGTTTTATTGCTTTTTAATGTTCCTGGTGCTGAGGCCAAAATCCAGTGCCTTGGGCCTCCCCAGCTAAGCGCCATCGCTGAGCTACATACCAGCCACAAGCCACAGACAGCCCTTTAAAGTTCCAGCGTTGGCTTTTCACCCCGTGGTGAAGACCATGTTCATTGAAACATGGTGGCAGAGCCCTCTGTGCTGGCCACATAATCCCTAAAGCTGGGATACCTCTGAGGATTTATGCACCAATACAAGGATTCACCAAGGATACAGCAGAGGCAGCCTCCATGACTAAACCTTTCCAGAAGGAACAGACAGATATTCACACTGGCAAGACACAAAGTGATCGATTGCGGTTGTGGGGCTTTACTGGCTTGCCCGGAGGCCCAACCCAGTGCCATCCTACTCCTGATGATGTCTCACATAAAAAGTTTGACTAATATGTTCCTATGAAGTCGGATCTGGTGGTCTCTTCAGAATCAACCCCTGCCCCAGCACTGCTTCCACCTGTTTAAGGCAGTCTCTCGTTCTCAGCTGCATCCACCAGGCTCAGCTGGACCACAAGCTTCCCAGCTCACATTAGGAGCACTGAGATCACGCGTGTAAAAGTTATGGCACCTGGTTTATGTGGGTATTGGGGTTCGAACTCAGGTTTTCATGTTTGCACAGGTGGTGCTGTAGCCATTGAACAGTCTCTCAACCCCATATAAGGATTATTTTAAGCTAAAGGCTCTTCAGGATCCAGAAGATACAGGGATCCTGGATACCCTGACTTCCCATTTGTCTTCCGAAAGCCAGGGACAGAACTGTACATGGGAGGATCTCTTTCCAGGAACAAAAGAGAAGAAACATCAGTGAGGGGAACATCAGCAGAAAACAATCTGGACCAACAATCCTTGTGGAGTAACCTTCCTTCCTTCCCTTACCTTTCAAGTTTCTTCTCCACATTTAAGTGCCCTGCTCAAACCTCCCAATCTTCTAACTTTTTAATAACTAATTGTTCTTTGCCCAAGCAGGACATAAACATTCAACCTTGTTTCTTTGGGTACCTGTTTCCTTATGAGGTCTCCTGAATCAAGTAAAACTTACAGTAAATGAGTTCTGGTTTTCTCTGGTTGACTTCCGTTACAGGGGTTTCAAGACCTAGAAGAACTAAGAAAATTAGGTTCTTTTCCTTTCTACATTGGCTAAGACAGCCATAGCAAAAAAGTCACAGACGGTGTGGCTCATCAGACATTTATCTCCTGTAGTTCTAGAGTTTAGAAGTCCAGAATGAAGATGTCGACATGTCGGATTTCCCTGAAGCCTCTCTCCTGCATGCAGACAGCCTTTGTCTTTGGGCATGCTTTCTCGGTGTTGCAAGGTATGTCCACACACTTGTCAGACTGGATCATGGTCCACCCACATGACCTCATTTACTCTCCAGTACCTCAGAAAAGCATTACTTCGACACATTCTCAAGTATTAGGCATTAGGACTGCAGCGTATGAATTTGGAGAGGGATTAAATTTCAGCCTGCAACAGAGTTATCATTCACACTTTTCTTTTTATTATATGCATGTTTCTATTATGAAGGAACTTGCATATCAACTAGTTCAGTAAGAATATTTGCTCAGCTGTTATCTTAACAGCAACTTTTTGTGAGTCCTTCACAGCCCCAATCTATGATGTAAGGCCCAACTGCAGTGGGTCCCAAATCTTGTTCAACACATCTTGGATCCACCAGCACATCTACCCCCAGGGGGATCTGCACCGATTGCTGTAAGAACTGGTCTTCACTGACCGCATCAGTGGCTACACTAGGCACAAAGTGATTCCTATAGTTGTTATTTTCATTTAATGGATGAGAAAACTGAGGGTTAGAGAAGCAATATAAATGTACTTCTAACTCCTTAGACAGACAACCAAGCCTGTGTCCTAACTGTAGTGAAGTTCTTCTTTGTCTGTGCTGTAAACTCATATTTAACTTGATCATTTGAAAGGTGAGTCTATGTAAGAAGTGAGATCAGCCTTGGGGGAATATGGGAAGAGTGAGGTAATGAATAAGGCTTTGGGTCTGTTCCCAAGAAACTGAAATATGCAACAGAAGAGGAAGGGGGAGGAAGAATGAACACACAGCCATGTGGTCGGAAAACAGGAGAGGTAACATGACTGCTAGCACCTCAGAGCATCTCGAGGGCCCAGGGAAAGACATCTGTCCCAGAAGGAGAACTGGAAGTCTGAAAGGCCAGCTGGCACAAGAGCGAAGGGAATTGAAGTTCAAAACACAGGTTTTCCCAGTCTTTACGACATGTTCCTAGAATGGAGCACTTTCATCCCTAAGGTGACCGTCTGAGAGTGAGAATATGGCTGCTGAGCTACTGTGTGGAGGGGTGAGAGCGGCAAGGACGGTTGGTGACAGCCTCCCTCAGTTGTGTGCTGCCCACACAACCGATTAAACTGGGCTACATTTAAATACCAGATACTTCTCACTGAACTCCACGACTGGGCAGCTCTTCATAAATCTGGAGGTCGCCTTTTCCCTCGGTTCATCATTGTGATGTCACTTCCTGTTGTCTCTCACCAACTGACCTTGCTCACTTACATTACCTTCCATCCCCACCCTCTTGGCCGGGCATCTAAGTATTCAGAGGCCTAGAAACTCACTAGGTTCTGTGTTTAAGTCTTGGCCCCTGTTTGACTATTTGATTTGCCTCTCTAGTCTGTTTTCTCATCTGGTACTATTACTGCCAAGAACCACTTATATTAAATTACTCAACAATCAACTGACTACCACAAACTTTTAAACCAGAGATTCTCAACCCCTTTGGGGGAGTGAATGACACTTTCATTGGGGTCACCTAAGACCATCAGAAAGCACAGGTATTTTCATTACCATTCATAAGAGTAGCAAAATTACAGTTATGAGATAGCAATAAGAATAATTTAGTGGTGGGGGGCACCACAACATGAGGAACTGTATTAAGGGGTGCAGCACTAAGGAGTTTGAGAATTGCTGCTCTAAACAGAGATCAGCCTTTGCTATTGTTGTTATGGGGTTGTATCAGGTTTTGTGTTTGTCTTCTCCCTCTCTTTCTTTCCTCCGTGTGTGTATGCGTGTGTGTGTGTGTGTGTGTGTGCGCGCGCGCACACACATGCACTTGTGTTTGTGTGTATCTCCACACAAATATCTGTGGAAGCCAGAAGTTAGTGTCCTGTGTCTCCCTCAGTGGCTCTCCACCTTTATTTTTTAAGACAAGATCTCTCACTGACTTGGAACCAAGCAGGCTAGGTTGTCTGGTCAGCGAGCTCCAGCAATGTGATCCTCTCAGGCTGGCAGCCCTGGGATCACAGCGGCCACACCACACCTGCCTTTTCACTGGGCGCTGAGGATCTCAGCCCAGATCCTCTTACTGTACAGCAAGCCCTGCCTGTCTAGAAGCAAAAGTCTTCTGTCAGGGCTTAGACATGCAGCAGGAAGTCCTGCGTTGTTCCAGATGCAGTACTGAGACACTGCCTCAGCTTGGCCATTAAAGACACACAGCATCATCCCCACAAAACACCAAGACATAAAACAAACAGCCCATAGACAAAGAGGTTTGTGGCATCTTTTTCGTAGACCAGACACAAACATTCCTCATTAAAAAATCAGAAATGCATCAAGTCTTTATTGAATTTTTTATGCACAATTAATTTAAGCAAACAAAACTTGATTGTTTCTAGGAGATTAGACACCTAATTTCTAGGTGTGGACATCAAAATGCCCCTCCATCAGGACACTAGAGAAGATTATGGAGATGAAAAATGTATTAATCCTTTTGTTATTTACATACATGAATTTTGAATATTCAAAATTATTCCTCAGCTAATAATAACCTGAATTTTCATTACCTGACTAGACAGGACTGATTACATGATAAGGAGAACGGGGTGATATGGTGCTGGGTTTTTAATCAACTAAGCATTTGAAATTTCACCAAGTAAATCCCACTGTGGATAATGGGGGCTGGAAGCTTCGCACAGAGACCAGGTGGGGATGAAGCAGCTTCCTTCCCTGCTGTAAGGCAGGGCCTGGAATCAGGGTCTGAGCTTCCCAGTTCCGCATTCGGCTCCTACTATTAGTATCTGTAGAAGTCACTTAACTTATCCATACCTCAGTGTCCATTTAAAGAATGGATCCAGTCAATAGCTCTTGAAGAAGGACACAGTGGGGAACATGGTGTAAGCAGTCAGTAGTGTTCCTCAGAGCTGGGGATGTAGCTCAGATGCTGGAGTGCTTGCCAGCAGTTAGGAAGCCTGGGTTCAATGCCTAGACCCTGTGAAACCGTGTGGTAGAGGAGGAAATTCAAGGTTATCTTTGGCTACACAGTGCATTCAAAGCCAGCCTGGGATACAGGGAAGCCTGCTTTTAAAAAACAAAGCAAAACAAACAAAACAAAAAACTCAAAAAACAAAACAAAAACCAGACAAACAAAGGTCATTTGATCACTTTGTTAAGCAAGAAAGCAAGATGTCCAGGGTTTTCATAGGAATCTGGGTCTCTCTTGAATTTTTTTTTTTTTTTTTTTTTTTTTGTTACTCTGTACCTAAAGAGGGAATAAAACCTGTTTTTCTCCCCTGGGGAAACATAGATTTGTGACAGGGCAGAGAGTAATATGAGGCTAGCCTGAAGTGCCCAGATGTCGGAACCTCTGGGGGCAAAAGTACAGGTTGTATAGAAACAATGACAAGGGTTGATCTAGGCAGAGATGGGAACACGGACTAATCGGCAACCAGATGAACTGGCTATAGGTGACACCTCCCTCCCCCCACCCGTATCCACAGTCAGAGCCTCGGTGCCTCCCTCCCTCCCAACCTCGATGAATGAAGCACAGAAAATACAGTAGCTGCTACTGAGTTCCTCCATCTTCCCCAGAGGTAAGCTTCGTAAGGATGCTAAGGCGGATGTGCCCAAGGTCATTGCTACCATGATAACATTTTCTCACTGGGAAATAACCAATGAGCTTAACATTTCAGCACTTCCCCAACAGTAAACATTGTAAAGTGGAATAAGCCAGCCCTGAGGACAATTCCCCCGACTTAAAAAGAAATTAACAAAATGTATTTCATTCAGAAGCAAGTTTCAATATTCCAATATTTTGGATTTATAGCCAAATGCATTCAGGGGGACATTAAATATTAATGATCTTGCCTGTGTTTGCATCACAGGGGTGAACAGAGCCTGGAGTTGAAATATTAACGGGCCCCAACAGATGTGCGTGCTTACCTAATGATTTTATCCTCGCCTCTTTTTTAACCCATAGATTCCTGGGCACATCTCTGGGTGCGTTGTATGACTGATACTAATTTATACAAGCTTAGGAAGGGGTCTTTAACTGCTATCCAGCCTCGGCATGGGAAGCACTGGAGCAGTCTTAATAAAGCAGAGACTTGAGAGAAATGTAGGCAAGGATGCCCTGGGAAATTTAACTCAGAACAGATGGATAGTCCTGGAAAATGACATTATTACAGGACCAAATGGAGATGTCCTTCCTATGCCACAGAAAGCCTTCCTGCTGGGAAAGAGCCAGGGTACTCAGTAGCCAGAGAGAGGCTAGACACTCCCTGGGCCTCAGGGCAGGGACAGGTGCCTCTCTCCAGAGACAAGGAGCCCACGATTAGCGACTGGAAGCACTCCAGCAGGGTAGAGGTGAAAGTGGCCTAGCACTTGGTTTTATTTAGCTTTCCCTTTGATCTGAGAATCACACTGATGATTACTGTGCTCCAATCTGCAGCGCTTGATTGGCCCATTCACACTGATATGGTCTCAGGGAATGGGGAAGGCTTTGTACTCCTGTCCTTCTGTGAGGGGCAGGCACCAATCTCCTTCCTGGGTGGCCTCCTCTAGGGCATAGTGTTCTGGGAAGGAGTCACCTAGGGCTTAGCCGGCATGACTGAGAAAGGCGCTTACACAGCAATGCTCAGAAACTCACAGTGTAAACTCAAGTCACTTGCTAGGAACTCAGAAGAACTATGACATTTGCCTATGAGCATGCTCTTCACTTCAGGAATGAACGATGAAGTGAGCCTTGCTCTCCAGTCATTTACCCTAACACTGAACGTTTGGAGCATCTGAGTTTCTGTGACCATGGCATCCCTACAGACCTCAGGCTGTTTTCGTCTGAATTTAAATAAGCCTGGTTGCAGGACATAGTCAATCTCAAACCAACAAGAGAACTCCTACATGCTCACTAGCGTTTATAGTCCTGAAAAGTGGTATACAGGCTGCTGGGCGTAAAAAGACATCAGTGGTCTAACCTGGATCCCATGCAAGGTGTATCCACTGGTACAATAAGCCCGGCTTCAGCAAAGTAGCGCTTACAGGCCAAATCCAGTTTTTTTATTTAAAAGAATGAAGGAGGAAACTTTCAGCCTTGGGGCCTATGGACAGGTTTCATGTCTTGTCTCTTTTGGTCATTAGATAAGTGGGTTTGCCGTACCATATGTTCCCATCATGATATGCTGCCACACAACAGACCCCCAGGCCATAGGGCTAATAGTTCATGGAGGGGAGTCTCCAAAACTGTGAGCCAAAATAAATTTGTTCTCTGGATAAGGAGAGTATATCAGATACCTGGGCTTAGTGATGGAGAGCTAACAGTGAGCAGGGGTCATGTGGCATGGGCAACCTTGTCACTTCATGCCTGTTCATTGTAAGTTATATTTCTAAAATTCATGTGCAGTGAAATATGGTATCTCATGTCTGTAATCCTAGCACTCAGGAGGATGAGGCAGGAGGATTTCCTCAAGTTCAAGATCATCCTGGGCTAAGGGTGAGATCAGAGGTCAGATGTGGTGAGCAATGGCTTTAATCTCAGAATTTGGGAGACAGAGGCAGCTCAGATCTTTCTGAGTTTGAGGCCAGCCTGGTCTGTGTAGTGAGTTCCAGTCAAGCCAGGACTACATAGTGAGACCGTGTCAGAGAAAAGAGAGAATCTGTGATGGTCTGTAAATCTTGCTCATTACCTATTTCTCTTCAAAGCTTAGCCAAATGACCTGGGATCATTCTTGTAGAAGATGGGACCTATAGTATAATTATTGTCTATAATATCAATAACACATTAAGTTCCCAGGGGAAAAATCTATTTCTTTTCAAAGTTTGCCTTATAGAAATCAGAATTTGATTTGTATAAGTTAATAGGGTCTCCTGATTCTCTCTAAGCCACTGTGTCAAGTTTAATCATGACATAGAGTGTCCATCTCCATTACCCACCTCCTATAAGCTAATCTGGCGCTAGCCATTATTCCCAACTGTCCATTGTTTCTGTTGGGTTTTTCCCAAAGGCAGACTTTGGACTTTCTCAGATGATGGAGATTCATGTGTTTTGATCTCTAAGAAGACAAGAAAGAGAGCAAAGGAGTATTAGCTGCTGGATCAGCTCCACTGGGCCCAACCGAAAACCCAACAGGTTAGGTAAGGGGTTCTTGTACCCCCACCTCAAACTTCTCACAGGAAGGCACATTTGGCTTATGCAATTTCCCAGCACTTGGAGGCCAGGGGAGCAGGTGTTCAGTCAGTGGATTTGGACTAGACTTGAAGGAAAAGAACTCAACTTTGTGTTTATTATTCTTCCAAAATACTATCAAAAGTCTCCTGGCTAAGGACTTCCATCCTGGATCTTTTGGGAATTCATGTTTTCCATGTTGCTTTATAAATTGTTATGTTAAAAAAAGCAGCAACAACTTTCAGCATTTGATAGTTTGCCAAATGAAGACAGGAAGCAAGTCATAGGCTAAACCAAAGGTCATATGCATGCCTGCTTATAGTGGTGCTTGAGTTTTGTTGATATTGATAATTGTTGGGCTCCAAATAGAGATCCAGAAAGTTTAAACTAACCCTGTGTCCTCCACTCCTACAATTTTAGGGCACTTCAAAACTTATCTTTGGGGCAATACTTTGAGAAGGAGACACAGTGGTGAATTAAGAGGTTTCATCTACAGCAGAGTAGACGCTGACTGTCCTGTAGGGTTAAGGTTTGTCCTCCTTAGCTGTAACCACCAATTTGATACAGTCCAGAGTCATCTGAGAGCTGAGTCTCAGCTGAGAAATTGCCCAGAGTAGATCAGCCTATGGACATGTCTGAAGGAGAACTGTCTTGACTGTTAGTTAATGTGGGCAGTGCTATTCCTTGCAGGTGGTCTAGCTGATTAAGAAGGCTAGCTGAAACCTGTGCATTCCTCCGTGGTTTCTGCTTTAATTTCTTGATGGCTTGAGTTCATGACAACTTCCCTCAATGATGAACTGTGACCTGGTAGTGCAAGTCAGCTCAGTTCTTCCCTCCTCTAGAATGTTGTTGTGCAGTGCTTATCACAGCAACAGGAAGGAGCTTGGACAGGCTCTGCAGAGGACAGTGGCTGGTGAGACATCTGGTACGGGAGCCCCAGATCCCCTAAGTCGCCCCAGAGGCTCAGATCAAGGCTGTGCCAACTCTACTAATTGTGCTCCTGATGAACTAAAATTCACTTCCTTGGTTTCCTATCAATACCTCTTTCAACTCAATTTCCTGAATTTAAAAATGATATAGAGGTCCTAGAATTCAGATCATGGTCAGTTTTTAACCTGACTGATGCCTCACTTCCAAAATACACAAAAAAAATCAAGATTGTAAGGATGAGCTAACCTGAGCCGCCATTATGCCTTGCTCTTCTGACTATGACTTAAAACCAGCCCTTTGAGCACCGTAGACAAACAAGCCAGCTTTCCAATTCACAGTTGACAGAAGTTAAACAAAACTTTCTGAATTTTAAAGACATAGCACACTAATAAAGTCCAAGTGTTCATCAAGAATAAAGCAAGAAGTTTCATGAAAGGGAACAAAGTCTTTGATGGTGCAGAATGCATAAGATATGATAACATTCATTAACAATATAGGGTAAACTTGGAGTCATGAAGATTTTTCACACGAGGTCACTTTATGAATCCTAATTAGATTTTAACAACAGTAGCAAGAACAACAACATACCCTGAGCAAAGGACGCTTCAGTCCCACTGGAGAGGCACCCACGGCTCAGACACCTCCACGGAGACTTCCGCTGCTTTCAGCGGCTCCGCTAACATGTCTCTTCCTCTCTGCCTCTCCCAGCACACAAACCAAGTCAGCCCAACATCTGTGTGGCTTCTTGGGATGTTTAATAAACTGTTTGTCAACTCCTCCCACATTCAAAAGTCACTAAATCTCAGAAGTTCTAGAAAACAACTAAAATGCTAACTGTCCACACTGAGGTTCAAAGAGCAGCCTTTGTTTTCTTTGTGCTGACTTCCGTCTAGGGCCTGGCGTACCCTGGATGAGGACTCGGCCAGACCTACATCTCCAATCATCTTTTCTTCTTTTAAGATGTTTTACTTGAGACAGGGTCTCATTCATTTGCAAATTGACCTTGACTTGCTATCCTTCTGCCTTAGCCTCCTAAATATCTGGGATCACATGCCTGGACCACGAAGGTTTAGGACCCTCATGATGACTTACAACTACCTGTAACTCCCGTTCCAGAGGATCTGATACCTGTTTCTGGCCTTGGGGGTACCAGACATGTTTGGGGAGGTTATGGAACATTTAGGAGGCGCAGCCTTGAGGGAGGAAGTACGTCACAGGGGACAAGATTTCAGGATTTATAGTCTTGTTCCACTTTCTGCTCATTCTCTGTTTCCTGTGCGTGGCTGCGAAGCGGTCTCACAGCTTCCTGCTCTGCCATACATTATGGACATCTAGCTCTCTGGAATGGTAAGCCAAAATAAACTCTTATTTGAGTTGCTTTTGCTCGTGGAAATTTATCCTTGGAACATAAAACTAATTCAAAAGTTTCAAAATTGCATTAGTTTCCAAAGGACTGGCCTAGGTTAGCAGGCAGCCCTAGGGACAAGCCCTGTCATTGTGCCT